GATTCACTTCTTAAGAGCCTTTCTCGTAGGCTTACCGTAGTTGCATATTGTCATATTTGCATTTGACTGCATTTGTTGGATGTGAAGCTAATAGAGCATTCTAAAGCAAACTAGCTCCTATTAGGAAATCATTTTGAAAATACTTTATTTTTAACTTGTTTAGTGATTCGTTAGATGCAAATTCAAAAAATGACTCAAGCTTAGACGACATGCTCATTTCTTTTTTAACAAAGGGAGACAGGATAAGTCCACAAACTGATTTTATCAAAGTATAATTTCTATTCAAATTGGTTTAGCGCAACCACTAGAAATGTGAACAATCGAGTGAAATTTCACCAGAAAGTGGACATCTATGTTGGTGAACTTACAGGGCTCTTCAGAACTTTGATTTGGCTTCAGAAGAAAAATTCGTGGAGTATTATCCTGCTTATTTGATTGACCAGCGCACTTAATTTGTCATGAAACTTCCAGCATTTTCAGCTGAAAGCAATGGTCTCGATCGCTCCAGGTTACAAAGTTTGTTTCCGTAATAAGCCAATATGATCCAATTAGTCTGCTCCAGTTTATCTGTATCTGCCTCCAGCCTAGAAGCTTATTATAACTTTAGCAATCGGATCTGGTGTGCATTCTTTTGATAATTGTTATGTAATCCCTTTGCCTCGCAACATTGCTCAGATGTTACAAATTTCCATCTCTTCAGCAGTGAAACTTCACCTCTCTCCAGAGTCGGTTACATGCTATAGCTTTGAAAGTTTTTTTTATCGATTAGCGACGACATAAAGTGAGAATTGAGGATGTAATATCTTCTCCAATCTCTAAGTCGTACTCTAAAAACAGAAGAAACTTGGATTTTGTTGTGATTTCAGAACACATCCTTCAAAGCACTAAAACAGTTGTCATATTCTAACTCAATAAAATCTTATAAACGCCTTGCATACTTGTGAACCCATCGGTGTCAGATCTGCTGGTTAATCTCTGTATGGGGTCCTTAGCTTTCTCTTTCTGACGGTTGTCTCCCTTCAAGGACCATGCATTCATCAAAAGTGTGATAGATATTTAGTTTCTCTTCTACAGGATCTGTGCTGGATGCAATACGGAGATTGGTCATGGACGGTTTTTGAGTTGTATGAATGCTGTTTGGCATCCTGAATGTTTCCGCTGCCATGCTTGCACCCTACCAATTTCCGAATATGAGGTACTACGCATTTAAATTACTGCAGGAAATTGTTTGATAATTTCTAGCCTAGGAATCCATTCTCCTTTATTGGCAGTGTTACTTGAGTTGTGGACTGGCTAATTTAGCATTTTTATGCAGTTCTCTTTGTCGGGCAATTATCCTTACCATAAATCTTGCTACAAGGAGCACTACCACCCAAAGTGTGATGTCTGCAGCCATTTTGTAAGTCATGGGAGTTACTAGAACTAAAGCTCTTGATTGTTTACTCCATTTGCTTTAGTGATGCAAGCTCAAGTGTGTTCTGCGGCAGTTACTCCATTGGGCTATTTTAGTTGTCTCAGTTTCCGAGGAAACTGCTTCAGAAATTCAGTTTGAACTGCTAACCTAGGATGTTCATGCCCAACATTTTCTGAGTACGAAATGTACGACAAATTATTAAGAATCTAGTCCGTGTTGATATATATATGGATTGTCCTAGCATGTAGTATAGTAAGTACTGAGATGTTCTCATGTAGTCTTGTGTTTTATAATTTGAATGTAATACGATCGGTATCTGTTTTGCATTTGTCATTTATCTAGTTTTTGCACTTTTAATAGATAGAAAATGGAAATATCTGCTCTTAGAATTTTTGTACAGCCCGTCATGTTGCATTCATCAGAAATGTTGGTTACTAAATTCTTTTGCCCCCATATTATTTATTTGTCAATACTTTCGGCCTCAAGCCTTTCATATGTTAATATAAATACTTAACAATGGGCTATGATTGAGTGGATTCATTGTGGTCCTCCAATCCTGAAGCTCTAGTTTTGACTCTTCATGGTGCTTTGACATCTAACTTTTTATTCGTCAAAGAAAAGAAAAGAAGAAAAAAGAAATACTCATCAGATGATGCTTAGTAGAATTTTGTATTTTAACATTTGTAAGTGCCATTGATTGATATTTGGGGGGTGAAGTGCCCAGTTTTCAGTATGGAGAAGCAGAAAGCTATTAGCACTCCATCTGTTTCTTTGGTTTTTTTAGAAACTCCACTTTTTCACCGTGCTCATTTTGGAAATCTCTTGACAGATCCCTACAAACCTTGCCGGTCTTATTGAGTACAGGGCGCATCCCTTTTGGAGTCAGAAATACTGCCCATCTCACGAACATGATGGGACTCCACGATGCTGCAGTTGCGAGCGAATGGAGGTCAATATGATTAAACTACTTTTGTACGCTTAAACCAGTGATGAATTTGTTATAAACCAATTTCATGAGGAGTAAGCATTTGCTCCTCATTCATGTGCAGCCACGAGAGACCAGATATGTTGCTCTTAAAGATGGTCGAAAGCTCTGTTTCGAGTGTTTTGACTCAGCAGTGATGGACACAAATGAATGTCAACCACTGTATGTTGGTATCCAAGAATTTTACGAGGGTCTAAACATGAAAGTGGAGCAGGAAGTTCCGTTACTTTTGGTCGAGAGACAAGCACTAAATGAAGCGAGGGAGGGAGAGAAACACGTAAGTGAAACAGCTCTAATTAGAGCTGCTCTACTGGTGGAAAAATGTAGATAACTGTGACCTGAACTGCTGACAATCTTTCGAAATTTATTACATTCACGTATTTGTTGGAATTTTCATGCAACTCTCAATAATTAATTTGATTCATTATAGTGTTGATGTCAACGATTGAAGTAAATTAGTTTGACTTCTGAGTTTTTGCTAGATCATGAATGTAACGTGGTTCTGAGAATTTGTCCTAGAATAATCTGTGCTCGACAGTTTTGTACGAGATTTAATTTTACATTGCTTGTTTGCATATCATCATTTATAAAAGTCGTGTCTTCTAAAGTTTAATACTATACTGGTTGCGATATTGCTCATTCTGGCCGACTCCGTCTGTGATCCATCCCCCATTGTCTACTCTGAACTATATTGTCAGTAGAGCTATCGATTAGCAAGTTAATCATTATTTATGTTGCTGCGAACAGAGATGACCTTAGATTATCATAAACTGAGTCGTATTGATCATGTTATTGCTTTTTGAAATGAAATTTTTTTCTTAATTCAGGGCCATCATCATATGCCTGAGACAAGAGGACTGTGCCTCTCTGAAGAACAAACAATCGGCACGGTAAAGACTTTTAGACTCTCTCTCTCTCTCTCTCTGTTTGTGTGTGTGTGTGGGTGGGTAGGTTTGGGCGCCATGCGTGCGTGTGAGTGGTGCTTGTGCACCAGACACAGAGGCACAAGGCATCCCACATGCAAATGCGCATGCCCATCATAGTTTATGATCGATTGCGAGTTGAAGTCTACATTAGCCCTTCATGAACCAGATTTCAAGACAGCCAGGAGCCAGGGGACGTCGAAGAGCGGGCACAACAACAGAGCCTTATAAACTGACACGTCAATGTGAAGTGACTGCAGTTCTAGTCTTGTATGGCCTTCCAAGGTATGCCATCCATTTGATCTGATTCTATGATGAATTAAAATCTGCCAAAAAGCTCTAAAAGAAGAGAAGACGGAATAAGTAGCACTAATGATTCAAATGAGATCTTAGATATTTCTTATGCAAATTATGAAAAGAGGGTTTTATCCAAAAAACGATCCTTGTGAGTTGGACTAAAATTTGGACGTCTCTTTCGGCTTGTACTACTTTCGCAGACTTTGATAGTGGTTAGTTTATGTGCTATTGAAATGTTGATTGGAACATTATGTGCAGGTTGCTGACTGGATCCATACTGGCTCACGAAATGATGCATGCTTGGTTGCGACTAAAAGGTTCTTTTCCAATATATTTCTTTAGTTGAGTCTTTGGAAAATTAGATGGAAGTTTCATCATTGTGCTTTCTATATTCCTCAATTACTAAGATTATGCTGTTCCTTTGGATTTTTTTTCCCTAAAACTTTTGATGTCAAGAAGTGGCATCATGTATTCGGAGAGGTTTCTCAATTCTCCTCGAGTTTTATCGATTCATTAGTGTTCTATCTGTGGTTGGGTGTTCCTCTTCAAGCTGCTGATATACCTGGATGGTTTTGAAGGTTACCCCACTCTTCGTCAAGATGTCGAAGAAGGGATTTGTCAAGTGCTAGCTCATATGTGGTTGCATACGCAACTGACATCCGGATCAAGCCACGACTTCGCGTCAACCTCATCGATTTCATCTGCTTCCAGAGCAGCTAAGAAAGGTGCAAGATCTCAGATCGAGAGAAAGCTGGGGGAGTTCTTTAAACACCAGATAGAGTCGGACACTTCCCCTGTGTACGGTGATGGACTTAGGGCTGGTCTGCAGGCTGTGCACAAGTACGGTCTCCAAAGGACACTTGACCACATCCGAATGAGAGGCAACTTCCCATACTGATCAACCAAAAATTGCTCACATTCTTTTTCTGATTTCCTTCTTAAATGAAAAGGCCTGGCTGCCTTTCATGCTGATAATAATTTCGAAATCATGTAACAATCAGCTTTCTATGAGATCTGTAAATTTCCATTTGATTATTGGTGTTGTATGGCATAATGACATCTCGAATTGTAAGCGATATGATTTAATAAACACAGATACTTTCTTACGGTCGCAGTCTTGATCTGAAATGAGCTTCCTTTGTTTTTGGTCTTTCCCCGTCTTTCCTAAGACAATGTTGAGCCATTTGCTTTGATAATATTTCTTGATAGTTCGAGTAACGTGATTCAATCCAGTATACTATCAAGAGGATCAAACATTTTCTCTTCAATATCTCGCAGTCACTCTTATGGTAATAGAATGCGGCATTAACTGGATACAAGAAGATCTATAGAAATGATCAAGAGGTTCTACTCTAGAGATCTAACTTCTCTGTACTGTGAATTACTTCTTTTTACCAAGCTTCAAGCGCGATGGTTGAATTTCCTGGGCCTTTAGATCTGCCTGGATTTTCAATAGAGTCGCTGCTATCTCCGCCATGCCTGGTCTCCTTGTTGGCTCATGCGCCAAGCAGATTAGACTTAATCTAACCATCCGCATAGCTAAAACTCTTCCGCTATGTTCAAGTCTAGGATCGATGAAGCTTCGAAGAATCTCGGTTTCTGCATTCTCTCTTTCCATCGCAGAAGCAATTGCAGCTGAAAGTAGAACTTCCCTTCCGTCTTGCAAAATGACCGCATCCTTCCCTGTGATCAGTTCCAAGAGCATCACTCCGAAACTATAGACATCGGTCTTTGAACTGACCAGACCTCCCTCAATGCACTCTGGTGGCATATAACCTTGGGCCCCACCAGGGTGTATAGTTAGGGAAGCGCTCGACGTTTCCCTTCTTGCGACGCGTGCAAGACCGAAATTCGCGATCTTGGCCCTGAGATCGCCATTTAGCAGTATGTTGCTGCTGTTGATGTCCTTGTGCACGTAAGCGGGTTTGGTGAAGCTATGGAGATAGTGAAGTCCGTTGGCAACATCCAGGGCGATATTGATCCTGTAGCTCCAGGTCCGAGTTTTCCCGGAGCTTTTACTGGAGGAAAGCCACTCTCTCAGAGACCCGTTACTCATGTACTCGAAAACCAGGTAAAAGCAGCTGTCGAATTCGCAGAACCCCCGAAGCTGGATCAGATTGAAATGGTTGATCTTCTTCAATATGTTCACTTCGTTGGACACATCTCGACTCACCCTCTTGACTGCTAGGGTTTCCTGGCTGAAGGCACCACGGAAAACAGAACCTTGGATTCTGTTCCGAGAGCTGAAGTTCTGCGTGGCCTTCTTTATTTCCTCAAACACGAAGACCTTCAGTATTTCCTCCAAGCTGGCGATTTCAAACCGGAGATCGACTGGTGAGGCCAATTTCCTACTCGCCTGCCCTCGAAACTGGGGAACCACCGCCTTTCTCTTCTTATGCCACAGAAAACATGCGAATGCGGTAAAAACGATCACAAGAAGACCACCTGCTGCGACTCCGACCCCCAAATACAGTTCTTTGTTGGGTTCCCTTCTCGAAGAGACATAAGTGGGTGGAGGCGAAGATGGCTGTTTCTGGTATGTTACGGTGGTTTGCGAGCTCGAAGGCACGCTTATGTGAGGAACTAGAATCGTCGTGAAGGGGAAGATAGTGGGGTTCGCTTCTGAAAATCCGTTTTCCGTGAGTATGGCCTCAGCGCTAGCGTTGAACCTCTCACCAATACCCGTAAGAGTATCATTCCAGTTGATGGAGTAGGTCAGCAAGTACCTGACACCGTTTACAGTTTGATTCCTGGTAGGACAAGCGCACCGAAGCGGCACTTGCAACTCGCTCGCCCCCTCCAATTCGAACTCGCCGTGCAGATTTGCTCCCTTTAGAGAATTGCATGTGGAGAGCCCCTGGTAGGTGTCGTTGGCAACGGTGAAGTAGGTGTCCTTGCCGCCAGCTATGGGAAACACGGAGATAGCCCGGTAGTACTGCCCCGAGCAGGAGCAGTTCACAGGGACGATCACCTCCTTGTCCGTGGGGAACACAGTGAGCCTCGTGACATTGTTGATCCTCGCGACATCCTCCTGGTCCGATGACAGGAGGGTCGAGATGGTCGGGACGGAATCGTAGGGCGGCCGAGATTTGAATATGAGGAATGCCCGGCAAGCCCGTCGGTTGCCGTTGCAGGTGTAGAGGAAGGCCGGGGACGGTCCGTCCCGGTCGTCCTGGTCGCAGTCGAGGACCGAATTCCCCGAGTACTTCTGCTGGCCATTGACAGAAGTGAAGAGACCGAGCATGAAGAAACCGAGGACAATCTGGTGATGCATGGTTGCCTGTTTGCACCAAAAAGAACGACTCAGGGTCACTGACAAGAGCTTCAAGATTCTGCAGAATGCTTTCGTGAAGCTTTGATGTTGCTCACTTGCTAACATTGCACATAACCGCGTGAAGTTATATTAAAAACTTTAGTATATAAAAATTGATTCTTAAATTGGGCATTGCTATCGGTTGGATTTGATCCACAAACGAATAAAAATCAGTGTGGCCCATATTATTTCATTTAATATAATCATGCAAATAAATCTCCGTTTGAATGGGTAGATTACAGAAAAGTTAGTAGAGTAATCTTGACTGAGTTCGTGCATTAAACGGATTCTTTTAGCCATTTAGAAGATTCTTAAGACCCCACGTAAATATAATATCTTAATTTAACGTGGACCCGTAATTTGCTGGTCCGTGAAAGAAACTTGTTCCTTACTATGCCACCGCCCCTACCTACACAAATTTTGATGACCTAAAGTAGAGCATCAAATTACTCAACATTAATAATAACTGTAATAAAAACCAGAGACTAAACTGATCAAAATTTCAAGAAAAATGGATCGAAGAACGAATAGGTGAAGAACTTATATCGACCCATAAAGATCTATTTGGATTGGCAGGGATTGGCGCGTTTGCAAGATTCCCATGCTCTGGACTCGGAATCCGATGATTATGGGCTCCGTTTGTCCCCTCGGAAAAAATGAAATTTCATGTAGGGGGCCGTGGTTATCCATCAATTAACCTGCTCTTTATGGTCGTGACCCCAAATTATGAAGAAAATAGGAAATTTTAAAGTTATTCGAAGCACGAAATATGTGATAATTTGCAGGCTATAATTTGAAGAATTTCGGTCAAAGATGGGCATGGTACAGGAATATCAAGTGGCCGTTTTGAATTATCATGAAAGATTGATTTTTGTCTAGTCTGGCATTGAGCACCCCCCCACAAAACCTGGAATTGGTGTCTGGGCTTCGCAGGACAGACGAGAGCAAAATCTGTAATTCTTGGAAGCCAATGAAGCAAAACATACGACAACCACAGACCTCGTCAAACAATTCTAGCAGACCGATGAGTCAAGTGTCCTCCAGCCAGCAAGACAAATCATAAATTTTTGTTGAGTTAAACGAGCGTGCATGTCTGAACGAGGTCGAGCTGACGATTTCGTTTCCTAACCCCTATTTTTCTTCCGAGGCATTCACGATGATTAACACCGACACCTGCAGTTCGTGTCGTGTTGTATCATGGAACGTACCGGGAACAGAATAGAGGACGCGTGATACGCAGGGGAACATAGCCACAAGCGCAAGAAGACAGACACTTTGTATAGGCAAAGGGCTGTCCTTTGTGCTGGTTTTCAGATGGTTTCCGGGTTGAAGATGAGCGATATGACTGTGCCCCGGTCGGTCGCTGCATCTCCTTCGGCGACCGCGGTCAAGCCGCCCAAACAAAAAGAAAAGGCCATATGCGGGGTCGGGGCGAGGACAGTTCGGTTCGGCAACAGAGAGTTAAAACTCGGCCTTAGAACAGTGAGAAAACATAATTTGATGATAATTAACTTACCTAATTTCCGAGTGTACTCTTGACTCTCTCCATTTATTCATAAACGGATGTAATCCATGTCTTCTCAAACCCTCTTAACGTGTTGAAGTTGGTGTGAGGTCACGATCCGATCGGCTGGATCTGAAAGATAAGTCATACAATCTGTTGTTTATAGATTGTTTATTGATTGAGCTGCATGTTTAAGCTTGTTCACTGTACCAGCTCCATGAAAAGAACACGTTTATAGTCAAAATCCTATTCTGGGTAAATGCTCATTCATCTCCTAAATTTAGAGGATGTAAAATACGTACCAATATTGATTATTGTAATCTTATTGAGCTCCGTGAGTGAAGCCCCAAAGATACGAATGTTCACTCAAAGGTAACGTAGACTCAAGAAACTACGAAGAAGTTGAAGAGACTGAATTTGGTCACCGTTTCTAGCATCACATGGCGAAATACCAAACCAAGCGCGAACAATCATTGCGGCCACAGGCGAGGCCGTCAGGCCCTAGCCTAGATCCACACGAGGGCCGTGACCATCGCCTGTTGGCCGATGCAACCCTCCCTTGCTGGCCGACGAGGGCTGCGACGTCCTCACCTAAACCAGGCAAGGGGTCGGCCAACGCTAACTAGACTACTACGTCGGTGATTTCTGGCCAAAATTGGCCGGAAGGACTAAATGAACAAATCATCAAAAGGTTTAGGACTAAATTAACACAATCGAAATGTTCAAGACTGAATTGGCACAAGTGCAATAAGTTTAGAACTTTTTTAGTAATTTCTCCCCTAATCATGAGTCAGGCGGCCTAGTATAGGTTCGCCTGAGCTAATAAGGTTGGAAACACAATTTCGACGTGCCGGGTAAAACAACCTTCTTCTTGGGCGATTTTAAGCCCAATGTAGACATGATCAGCTCATTGGTCAGGTCTGGCATGAGCGGAGCAATTTACGTGTATACGTGAAAATTTTAGTCGAGTAGAAAGATTTCACATATCCGTTTTATCCGAATAACATAGAAAAACATGGACTCGATCGATACATTGACTTGTCCGTGACGCTATTTTCACAAGAAAGCTCTCCGGCCCTACATCGCATCAACATCAGTTCGAAGTCATCATGCGTTGGAATTCCTGGAAATCAACCACTCCATTCCCATCGAGATCGAAAGCACGTATCATGCTCACACACTCTTCGTACGAATGTTCTCTCTCCCCGATCCTCGACAACGCATGTTGCAGTCCTCGAGCCGTGATGCCCCCACAACCTTTGTCGGCTTCAAACATCTCGAACACCCTCTTGAGATCGTCGTCCGCCTCGCCGCCGTCCTGTTCCATCATGCTGACAAAGTCCTCGAACTTGAGCAAGCCGTCGCCGTCCGAGTCGAAGTCGGCGATCACCTTCTGAGCTTCGCGGTGTGGCAAGGACTCGCCGATGGACTCGAAGAAAGCGCTGAGCTCCTCGCCCGACATCTTCCCATCTCCATTGCGGTCAAATCGTTTGAAGGCTTGCAAGTACTTGTTTTCGATATCGCGAGACGTGTTCGTGGATGGCGACGGCAGAGACGGAGCGTTTGGAGATTTGGGTTTCGAGTGAAAGTTACGCGGGAGCTTCAGGAGCTTGAGGCTCCTGCTGACGAGCCACTTCGACGGCTTGAGGACCAAAGCGGCGGCCATGTGGCATGTACAATGTTTGAGTTTGGCGAATTGGAGCGGCATTGGTCGAGCATTTTTATACATGAAGAGCGAGGAGCGATGCGGTCGCGTGGATGTTTCGAGCGGATGACGATCGGAGACAGAGAGGACTCTTGCGCAGAAATTGCGCGCTGAAGAGCCGTCGCTGTGCGTGAAGTTGCCGTGCATGTTCGTGGTGCGAGACTTTTAGAAAGACTTGATTTTTCAATGAAAAGAAGCCAGTGGACGCACTGTGCTCGGTATTTACCATGAAAGTGACCGGAAAATTCATCCTCTCGATTTGCTTGCCTTTCTCCTCTGACTTCGCAAAGGAAAATTGGCGGGTCCCGTCGCCAGCGGCATTCCCATGATCAAATTTCAATCGCAACACGTCGGGCTCACATGCCCGCTGTGTGCATAACAACAGCTCGTGGAACCATCGATCGCATTTCAAAATGGGAAGTCGTTCGCGATAGGTCCATATAAAAGTCCGTGTGCCACACAGGTCTTTCGGAGCATATATCCCACTTCATATGTATGCCCATACTCATTTCGTCTGATAATTAACTTAATCTTTTAAGTGAGTCGGATTCAAAATTATTTTGTCCCCGGATGTAATCTTATGGGTCATGCAAATTTAAATTACATATACGACCTAGAATGTCGAAGAAACGGGCCCGTGCACTGCACAGGTGCGAAAGCTAGTTTCGGGTAAATGTGAGGGCTGGCTAGTGGCCGCCGCCATCTTCTTCCATCCTACCTTCTTTAAGCATTGCCGGAAATTAGCTATAAAGCATCAGAGCACTATAAATTGAAATATAGCGTAAAGCAAATCGACAATGTCGGTGTTGAACTTGATAAGAAAGCAGTTTGCTTCGAAGAGAAGGTAAAGCCGACCAATTGGAGAAAGCGATCCACCCAAAAATCTCGAACGAGAACCAATTAAAAAACCAAAAGATTATAGTCATGTTAGCATTGCTAAGCTTTTAAATTAAAAGCCCCCCTTCCTTCCCGGCATGACGCCTCTTTGCGCTCTTGAAGTACAAGGATTCTACCCATCGAGTCGATCATCGTATGCGAGTTGTTATTCTTGGAAGAAATTTCGCGACACCGACACGAGGCGATCGATTTAGGCGGGCGAGAACGCCATGATCTAAAAGCAACCAAAGTTTCTCCGTAGTTTTAACATGATCATGCTGCAAAATATTAACAGATATGTTTGTTGAATTATTGGTTTGCGACATTGTCATGTGCCATGACCATCACGGTGCAGTCTCTTTGATCCTAAATTTTAACACACTTAACCCTTGGGTAAAATTGGATAATGGCAGCAATCCAATGACCAATTTAATCATAAATTCTAGCTGGTTCTACCCAAAAAGCTTGTCGTACACTCCGTTAATCAATTTTTAACCCGCGCTTTACATCTCCAGGATCACTCGATCAATCATAAATCGAGTTAATTCTAAACGGTATATTTTATATTTGAAGAAACGAAATGGAATGAAATGAAGGGATGGAACGGGAGTAAGCATATCGGATCGATTGAATACGAATTTCTAGGGGTGAGCAACTTGGACCGCCCAAACCGGGACCGGACCGGACCAGACCGGACCGACGAGTTTGGTCCGGTTCTCGGGACTATCGGTCCGGTTCCCGGTTCCTAAAAGCGGAACCGATTTCCGGGCGGTCCGATTCCCGGTTCCAAGGGGGAACCGGACCGGACCGGACCGACTATTTAATATATATTTTTGTTATTTTTTTCTTTAAAAAAATAATAAAATGTGAACTAAACTCTAAATGAACTTCATTATCATAAATTCATTGATAAAAAATAGTAAAATGTGAATTAAACCCTAAGTGAACTTCATTGACATAAATTTATTGACAAAAATTAGTAAAATGTGAACTAAACCTTAAGTGTTTGACAAAAAAAAAATCCTAAACTCTAAGTAACGGGTTCCATTGGACCGGACCGGAACCGGACCGGACCGGTCCGGTCCGGTTCCCGGTCCTAGAACCAACCGGTCCGGTCCGCGGTTCCCAAAATTGAGAACCGGTTCTCTCGGTCCGGTTCCCGGTTCCACCTTAGAACCGGACCGGATCGGGAACCGCTCACCCCTACGAATTTCGCTTCTAATGTTTGGCTGACGCGGGAATGGAAAAGAAGTAGGAAAGAGAAAGAGAAGTTTTTTTAAAGCCCATATATCTTTGGTCTCCAAGTGCTCGCGAGAGACCCATTCCAAAAAAGCCCGCGACATTCATCCTGTGCCAACCACGTTTCGCGCATGCCGCACGGGCTCGGATTGGTCAAGAACCGCGCACGATGGACCGTTTGTTCGAAAGAAAACTATTTTCCGAGGAATTATTCTCCAACTTTCTTGTGTTTGGATGACCGAAAAATTAATCAATCTTCGGAAAATGCTTTTAATGGACCGAAAGTAACAAATTTATATCTTTCCCCCTCTGCAAAAAGGAAATTAATTTTTTTAAAATACCAAACAAATGAAAACTAACCATTTTTTCATGAAAATAATTTTCATGTATAATATTTTCCTTCATCATGAAATTTTCAATGAAACAAATGCACCCTAAAGTTCCATTTGTTTCGCAGAAAATGAATTATAATTTGGATAACATTTTCCCAAAAATGATCTTTTTGCTTATAATATTCTCTTCAAATTTGGAAATAATACATTATTTAATTTAAAATATGTATATAAACGCGACAACATTCATTTTTACTTTTTACTCGATACAAATGTTTTTTGCAAACGCAGTTCGACTTTGTATGATGCCATGCGCCGCGGAGTCATCACCATGCCTGCATATGTTTGCTTGGCACCAGTTTATCCTTTTCCCAAGTGGAATTTGATCAACCAAGTATTTAAATGTTTGCTTGAGTAAGTCAATTGGAAGGGAGATATTTATTTTTCTTTACATTAGTTTCCATGCCTACAAATACACATTATTTAAATTTTAAAAACTATAAGGACGTGACAGGATTGATTTTTACTTTTTTAAGATTCAGCTGACGCGGTAGACTTTTTTCAGGAAAAAGCACTTGAAACTTTCACGACATGTAAATACCGATGCGTAGATGCACACATCATTTTTATTATGCTTTTTTGAAATTTGCATATTGCTTTATACTATTTACGATAAAGTGAAAAAACGCGTTTTATTTTCGAAAAGGAAAAGGCAATCACGACCTATAATAATTATAGTCTCAAGTCTCTGTCACACGTCATATATTGAAAAGTTTCGTGCCTTTCGTATTAAACGAAAGTGGAAATTTAAGTTTACAAATTTAAAAAACGAAAAAAAATAAACAAAAGTATGATCACCCCCATCAAGCTCTTATTTCATTTTTCGGTTGACAAATAACTATCACTGCACTTTTTTTAAAGTTTATTCGAATTACACATTTCGTTTTAATGTTATAATATCGAATACACCTACAAATAAAAAAAAGAAGTCAATTAAATTTGAGAGAATGACACAAATGGTTCCTAAACTTTAGCTCAATGTGCAATGTGATTTTTAAACTATCAATTTGTTCAATGCGGTCTCTGAACTTTCATATAATCAAGGGACTGATTTGCACATGTACCAAAAGTTCGTGGACTATATTGAACAAATCGAAAGTTCAGGAACCACATGCGCAGTTTAGGGATAACATTGAACATTTTCATATAATTCGGGGACTAATTTGAACTTATACCAAAAGTTCAGGGACCACATGAAACAAATTAAAAATTCACGTACCACATTGCGGACTTGACTAAAGTTCACGGATCACATCGAACGAATTAAAAGTGCCATATTATATATTAGGTAAAAGTTCATGGACCACTGGTGTCATTATCCCGTTAATTTCGCATTCGAAATTGAAGCCAGCGGCTCCCCTTTCAGATCTCTTGCCAGCGTAATCTAGCAAAAGTCGCATATACCGGAACGAAACAGAACAGTATTTAGGAAGTTGGAAAAACATGGGAGGTGGGGTCCACGTGTGGAAGGCCACGTCCCATTTTATTAAATCAAATCAAATCCCGGACCATGTGGCCCCCCCCCCCCCCCAGCCCGTGATCGAGCGCCACGTGTCCCGAACCGGATGCAATCAATCAATGGGAGTAACACGGCTGCCTGCCATTGCCTTCTCTTCTGCTTTGCCCTCTCCTCACTCTTCCACCGACACTCGCATTTCGAAAAGGGCCCCCCCGGGGACAGGCTGGCAATGTTGACCTGTCTCTGTTGACCCAATTAATTGGATCTTTTCCCTCCTTTTGTCAACAGTCGGAAACCACGAGGACAACCTGCTCCATGCACACTTATGTCTTCATTAGTGTATGGCCATCCAATTATAACTATGAAATTAATGGAAAGGGATGTTAGGTGGTCGATTTCGGGCAAGTATCGGATCTCGAGAGTTACGTGTCGTGGAGTTTCGTGAGAAATTCCGAGGACAAAATCACGTAAGCTCTGTTGACACGGGATCCGACGGATGGACGCGCGCACAAGGGCTGGGAATGATGAAGGGGGGACACGATTGTAGCTAACTCGAGGATGATTGTGAATGATGAAGGCAACATGGTCGCGATCATCCAATTAAGGCCTGCCAACTCTTGGAAAATATGTAGGGAACATAATTATGGTTAATTCGAGGACGGCTTTTTAGGAGAAACGTCGTCGATGGGAATTTCTCTTTACGAGTGCAGCCTCGAGATGGCATCATATATATATGTGTGCGCACTCGAAACGGTTTATTATAATGGCGATGTATGCGTACCGTGATCACATTGACAACCGCAAGAAAAGAATGTTGGATACCAATCTTTATACTAAAGTTTCTCCTTGATTAATTCGCTCGGACACGACACGGTAAAGGCTCCATCACCGATCGGTGAACTGAGCAGTCTCCTCTCTTTTGATTGATCCGGACTCTACGTCTGTGTTTTTTGATCGGGGCCCGATCTAGATAGCCTAGCGACGACACCCTCCTCGAGGTTAAAAATGAATTTCGAAAAGTAAAGAAAATAGTCAGACAGCTCGATGTGGGTTTTTTGTTTTTGGGTCAAGACAGCACGATGTGGTTTGAAAGGTCAATTTATTGGACACAAGATGTCTTTTCAAGAAAAGGCAAACTCCAAGCTACTGATTATTTGATAATAATTATGTAATTACACCTGCATGTCTTTTACTCTGCCTGGAGCATCAACGAGGACAACCACCAGCGCTCGGAGATAATGTTACCTAATGAATAACGAACATGAAATGGACTCTCTATTCCTAATTTTTCGGCGTCTTATAAAAAAATCGAAATGAATACCCATCTCACCGAATTTCCACGCGTTAAATCACCATGCGATGACAGAAAACCCTACTAGAAAAGGAAGCAACATTCAATGGACCGACAAAGAACTTTGTATTAACCGATAGAAAAATCGAAGAGTGCTCATGAATCCACCTCAAAATAGCTCTACAATTTTTGCTATACAGATAACATGTACATGATGATAATCTCTGCAAAAATTTTCCAAAAAAAATATATATCAAAAGGATCCCAGAAATTTTCCTGGACCTCCCTCTTATTGTCACAAGTGAAATTTCATATTGTTCCAACATATTTAATCTCTAATCAAACTATAGGATGCCGATTAAGTGACACCGCCGTCGGTCCATCGGCCGGAAGTGTCCCAAAAGTTATGGAATTGCACACCCACCTGCATCTCCGAAGAGAGTGTGCATGCGTTATCTACACGAGCTCCGATGACCTCATCGTCGACCGGGGCTCGAGCTCGCGGCGCTTCGGCGTCGGCCCGAAGTGGAGGTTTTCCTGCTCTGGATCAGGAGTCCAGCGCGAAGGGAGTGCGCAAGAGATCGTAAGGAGCCCATAAGGCGTCCAACGGGCACGGCCGGTTGGCGTCGAGCCGCGCCCACGGCTTCCCTTTGCCGCTCCAATGCAGGAGGCTGACCGGGCCGGGGTGCAGGTCCCGGCACAGGCCCCGGAAGTTGTCGCCACCGAGGCCGTGCTGGTTCCACCGGTGGTCCACCGGCGCGATCGCCCCGGCGAACACCAGCAGGAAGGGCGGGAGCGACCCGAGCTCGTAGATCCGCATCCGCTTCTGGAGCTCCATCCACTCCTCGATCTTGGCCGTGTACCCGCCGGCGCGCCACCGGTCGAGGTCGATGACCATGACGCCGGTGTTGAAGTAGCAGGGCGGGCCGCGGCGGCCCGCGAAGGTGAGGGGGAGGGAGGGGCTGGACCAGAAGGTGGGGGTGAAGTAGGAGGTGAAGTTGGCGTTGCAGTACTCCGGGGCGGCGAGGACGGCGGAGCCGGGGTCGAGCGGGGTGGCGGCGAGGGAGGCGATGTCGTCGACGAGGACGAGGTCGGAGTCGAGGTAGACGACGCGGCGGACGCAGAGGGGGAGGAGGTTGGCGAGGTAGGAGCGGGCGTAGTTGAGGGGGCAGTCGAGGGCGGAGCGGATGGAGGTGGAGATGAGCCCGGAGACGGCGGAGGCGTCGAAAGGGTGGAGCTGGAAGCGGAGGTAAGGGAAGGAGGAGGAGACGGTGGCGCGGAGGAGGGACGCGTCGGAGGCGGTGGCCGAGTAGACGAAGTGGAAGATCACGTTCTGGGGGCACGTGGAGTGCTGGAGGACGGAGAGGATGGCCGCCATGGAGCCCCGGATGTAGGCGGCGTCCAGGGTCATCGCCACGTGGACCGCCGTCTCCGAGCAGATCAAATCATCGTCCCCGCCGCCGCCGCCGCCGCCGCCACGGCCGCCATCACCATCATCGTCGCTGTAGCTGTCGCTGGAGGTGTTGAGGAGGGAAGGGCAGGCTGGGGAGTTGTAGAATTCCGGGGCCTCCTTGAATTGTCCCGGGTCGACCGCGGCCGTGGTGGCGCCGCCATTGGCGACGGCGGCGGAGGAGACGTAGACGGAGAAGAGGAGGGAGAGGGAGAGGGAGAGGGAGAGGGAGAGGAGGAGGAGAGCTTTGTTACTAGGCAGAGACATAAGAGGAGTGGTGAGATGGGTGGTGGGATTTGGGCAAAGATGAGGTTTGCGGGGGGCGTCTTTGGTTTCTTGAACTCCTTTTTGTATCGAGCAAAAAGGAGAGAGAGAGAGAGAGAGAGAGAGAGAGAGAGAGAGAGAGAGATAGGCGTTTTGAATGATGTCTGAAGATTGAAACACGGTTTTGGCGTACCTTTTCTTTATTTATTTAATTCGATTTTTTATATTTCTTTTAGAGTTCGACCAAAAAAAAAACATTTCTTTTAGAGAAAAAGAAGGAGGATTTAAAATAAAGAAAGAAGTCAAAGAAGGGAATGGGAATGGAATTGAGCTTAAGCTTAGCTGGATGGCTGGCCAGAGAGCTGGGTCAAGAACTTTTCCAAGAAGGGACGTTTGTTGGGCTCAGATCAGTTGTTCTAATTGAATTTTTTTAAAAAAAATTCAATTTTCAATTATAATTAATTATTGAAAGTAAAAATAGCACATGGGTATTTAATTTTCTTTATAAAAAATATTTGTAATTTTATTTCGTGTGGGGTCCTTCCGTGGGGGGTGGTGGAAAGGGCAGACTGACTTAGCTTTTAATCATTCGGAAACTTTTCAAAAAGCAAACGTTAATGATCTAAGCAGAATTGCTTCTGCCGAATCCAATTTGAGAATTCAAGGGACGTTGATGTCTCGTCTCATCTCTTTTCTCTCTCTACGCATCATCTCCTCATATGAGTTGAACCGTCGCCTTCGGGTCGGATAGGTTGGAGTTTGCCGATCGATCGAAGGCACCTGTCGAACCGAGCTGACTTTCATGTTTTATAAACACCAGGGAGCTCAACCCCCCCTTGTGAAAACTAGCATGCCACCTTCCAGGGAAAACGACACTTGAGCATCGGATGTTTTTTAAGGTAGATGGCGCGAATCGCCCTTGAACTTTGGCCAGACATGCAGTGATATCCATAAACTTTAAATTTATTCGATGTGGTCCCTGAATTTTGATCCAGTATGCAGTGCCGTTCCGTAACGGTGTATGAAACGTCGGATTTGCAAAACTAGTTAGAGGAATAAAATGCGTGTCTCAATAATGACATTCTCGCTAATAGTCTTCATTGGACCACGAAGACTGTTGGGGAAAAAAAGTTGAAAAGTAAAAACAAAAAGAGAAATTTGCAAAGAAGAATGGCAATCAAAGTGAATTTTTTCAACATTTTATAAATGCAATAGGCATACGGCCCTACTGGTAAAAGAATTAGAAGGTTTAGGGACGCTAGTATCACAGGAGCGATATTCGACTCTCGCATTCTGTAAGAGGTACAAAAATCAGAGAGTGAGAAGAGTTAGAGATAGGATAGACAAAAAAAAAATATTCTATAATAATTTAATTTAAAAAAAGAAAACTATCGAATGTTAAAAAGTTCATCTTGAACGGCCGCCGCTTAAAAAAGTTCAACACCCATGCTCAAGATATCTACGAATAATACGTCGGTGAAATTTTGTGCGCGGGTCGGTCGAATAATCCGATTGCACCAAACTCAAAACGTTTGCAACTTGATTGAACTTCTTTTGATGTTTAAGACTCAGATTGCACAATGAACAAAACATTTAGCACCATCGGTGCAATCTTTCCAAGATTTATATGACGACTAGTAATATACAATTCCGGGTGACATACTTAAAGGCAAAGACGAGAAGAGATCTTATTATAACATCTTAATATAAATCCTGCATAACCCATATGAAGAACGATACAGATGGGAGTTGCACGCGTCACCCCTCACAACATTGGCCTCTGTTAAAAAACCCTAATTTTTACACGAGTGAACCTCCAAAAAGGAGAAGAGTCTTAGGTCAATATATCAACCCAACGCTTTGTCGGTACTCCTCCTCGGCGCCATTGCTTCCTCTCACATGCTTGCCTTTCCATAAATGTCGTCTGGCTTACAATGATACGACATCCGTCCGGAATCAAACTGCTTCACAAAATTAATCCCCATCACCTAACTTCTCTGTTCAATCATTCACCAAACAATCCAGACAGAGAACGATAGTCAAAGACGCTGTATACTACCATTGACTCTCGTAGCTCCTGACTTTTCCCTGAGCGAGGAAAGGTCATTTCACCGAAGCTTCTACTGTAATTTAATGCTCCTTATGAAAGAAACCCGTCAAAGTAAAACAGAACTCGAAACGCGTTGAAATACACATGTGAGTTATGTTGAAAAAAATCAAAATCCCACTTCGGCCCATATTTCATTGACTTAAACTTTTGAATAAAGTTGGGTCCAACTGAATATATTGACGGGCTTAGACTTGAGCTCCCTCTTGGTAATCTCCTCGGATCAAAGTATCGGACTTTCGCAGCGCGCTCCCAACAAATAGTATCAAAGCTGATAGTAGATTGGTGAGTCTCTCAATCTGTTTCAGTGTTTGGTGAATATATCAAGGAATGGTGACCAATGCAACCTTTATGGTTCGGTCTAGAGAAAGAGATCAAGGATGAAGGATGAAGGTGAGCGTTGAAGATTCGAGTTGAGATAAGGTGAGCCCGCTCCCAACAAAAAGGTTCTTTTCAATCTTGCGACAGATGCTCTCATGCTGTCAAGCCATATACTTACTTGCATGGTTGGGCCTCTCTTTCGAAAGCAGCTCGATGTAAAGACGAGCTCCACATGAGGGCTGGTCCCCCGGAATGGGTCGCCGTTCAAGTGGGTCAAGAAAAGAATAGTTGCGCCAATCTCGGTTCCTTCATGAGACATAGGGTGTGCATGAAAGGAATCAAAGTAGTGCTGCCTTTCGATTCAAAATAATGCTGCGTTTGTCTTGTGGTACACAGACATGTAAGGAAGGACTGAAGAACGAGGCTCGGAACCTTCTCTCAAACGGACAAACGCATGGTCGATGTTGATGTGGAAACTACACCATCAAAAGAGGGGAAAGAAGCAGAGTCGTCGCGAAAAATTATTATAAATGTGAAAAGCTGGAGTCCCGAGTATCATATAGTTGTTGATCATGCACGTGAAACTTCATTTACAATACAAGTCTTAGACACCCAAAATTACCCGAAATACAATTCGGAGAAGGCACACGGTGCGTTGTCGACAAATCGGCTGCAGATTATTAATCGATGACAAAGGCAGGGCGACTACTATTGATAGCAATTTACTAGTTCTTTATCCGCATTCTTCATTCATTATTGTTTATTTTTAGTTAGTAGGATTAACCATACCGATTGTTTACTGTCCGAATCGCCATAGAACCCGATTCATACAAAAAGGCAAAGATCCAACGTTCAGTGAAAGAAATTTCGTCGACGACCATTTCCGACGAAACAATAAGAAAGAAAATATATTTCAAATAAGATCGCGTCATATGTCCATCTAATCAATGACAGAGTTTAAAATGTTATGCATTTCGTTATCATTCACGTAAACAATGTCATCCAACTAGCATTTTATAATCCTGCAATTAGTTCGATAGGACAGAAGATGACACGGTTCTTGGGAGTATCTACTTAGAGTTCTCTGGATCTTGGGCAAGGTTATTGTACATGCAACAAGGATTCTATGTATCTAACAAGTTCGTGTAGGTATTTACTTTTCCTTTTGTATCAAGCTACTTGCCGAAGAAGAGGTTGGCAAACTCAAGACTAGCGGCCAACTCAAGGGGAGAGAGAGAGAGAGAGAGATTCAATCAATTTACTTTGGAAATTACAAAAGTTCGAGTACTCGATGGGTCACTTTCCTAATTTAATTAATCGACATGTGATATGCCGGATTAGACGTATATGATAGAAGTGAAAATATGCTCGTGCATTTCAATATTGCATTGAGATTTGATAGCTCTTCTAGGCCTTGCATGTCTCAAAAGTCCATTCTAATTTCTTTTAACAAAACGTGTCACGTCAAATGCATCTTATCGAATTTTTGCATTCAACTCCGTCGGCAGAACCACAAAAAAAAAACATACAAAACGTTATCGACGAATAATCGCAAGTTTTTACGCCTATAATTTCTCGAGAGCCACAGCTGAACCGCTTGACAGCTACATCCATTTTGTTAAACTTATCTACATATCTAAGCTCAATCGATCTACAGGATGAACTAATAAATATCGAAATCGATGGGAGATTTGACAGATCCCAAGAGTCACCGACATCTGACCCACACGAACCCTAATGCGTGGGGGACATGAAGGTGCCATTAAAGTCGAGCTTCTAAATGAACTGCACGTTGTCCTACTTTCGTGTCTCGGCGAGCAAGACAACAATGGCCATGTCTTCCTTCCTATGGGGGTTTAGCAGCAGAGCCTAAAACGAAAGTACATGCCGACGGAATTTGGTACCATAGGGAAAACTCAGGAGAAGGGTCAAAGTTTCAACGCTGAGAAATAGATTTAAGAAAATTATTTTAAAGCATTAATTCGAGTCTCGAGGGTGGCTTTCCATTGGCTGTTCGTAATTTATTGAAGTTGGTCCTCCGAATTTATTTATTTTTTTTCTCTTTTTATTAGCCTGATTGTGTAGAAAGATGACTTTGAAGAACGCTCTCCACGTTGTTGCCAAGAGACTCATAAATTGCATTCTTATACTTAAATTGCATTCTCTTTTTTTTTATTCATGTACATTCGTTTGTTCTTGCTCATAAAGTGCATTTTTCTTTTATTACAACTTAGCTATCCTAGCATTTTAGAGGACTGGGCTAATATCGTCTAAATCCTTTCGCAACGGAAAAATTATTGTGCCGAAACCCTCTAGATTTGTCTTAAGAAATGTTCTTTTTAATGGGGATTTAGATCGAGCGTGACTACTCTTTATGAAGCACGATTCGATATTAGTCTTAATCAGCTCGACTGGGATGAATGAAGTGATGGTTATTAGAAGAGACTATTTTGAAGTGAGACAGAGAATCGGAAATAAGAAATTGGAAATTGTTGTCATCAACCTAAGGTAATTCGCTCTCATTTTGCATGTTAGAGTTAGAGGTGGCAAATGGGTGGATTGAATCGGGTTTGAGTAAGTCATAAATGGGTTCGATTCAAGTTCACTCATTTAACCCGTATTGGCTCATTTATTTTCTGAATAATTTAGATGGAACATACCCAACCCAACCGAGATCTAAC